TATGTGTACTACTGTTTCATGAGAAACTATTTGTTCTGTAAGCCTTCACCTGAAGTACAATTAAAAAAAAAAAAAAGAGTAGAAAGAGCTTTTTATCACTTTGCTTGCATTCTAAATATCAAATTATGAGACTCCTGAATGTTAATTGGTTTGTGGCCCTGTGTGGGTGGTAATAAGTAAGTCTAGGTATGCTAAGTATGTGCATCCGTCACGTAGTAGTGATTTAGAAGAGACACAATCAGTTGTAGTTTAATATTAAAGTCAAATATGGATTTTTAAAGTTGCATCGGCTTCTTGGAAAATAAGTGTCTCCTTTTTCACTGAGTATTTACTGCTTCATATAACTTTAGGTTAACTTATTTCACATAATATCTCTTTAATGTAAAATCTGTGGGCTACAGATAATAGTAACTTATCAAGACTGCCTTCCAGTATGCATTCCAAGCATTGCAAAATTGCTTGCTAGTGGATAATGTATACAGGAGTCATATGTGGTTGGTGACACCTTGAGCTGATCATATCAGAGTACAGAGAGCTATTGGAAAGAAAAGGCCTTCAATCGTGAGCTAAGAGTACCACAATGACTGTATCAAATACAACGTACTGAGTAATTTTAAAATATTGCCTTTGTGAGTATGAGATACAGCATACTTGAATGTCCCCTTCTTTGAATGATGGAGATAGCAACTTGATGACAGTGTTGTTATTTTGATAACATTCCTCATAATAGTCCCAGTGCTTATGAATTTTGGCTTCACTGAGCACATGCCACATTTAGCCAAGAGTCTTCTTCCATATTCTGAGTGTGCCCTTTCTTTTTTAATGTAGCTATGGGAATACTTGTAGGTTTTTTTTTAATCATTTACATATGCTGTTTCTGTTTAGCATAACCATATGTTTTATCCTATTTTTGTGTGTTGTAGGTGCAACCAAACAGCTTTCCGTGGCAGTCTCCTTTACCATGCAGCAATAGCCTCCCTGCAACCTGCACAACGGGCCAGAGTAAAGTGGCAGCCTGGCTACAGGACTCGGAAGAAATGGACAGGTGTGCAGAAGGTTAGTTCCTTCCCAGGGTAGGCTGTGAGAATATGCCAAAAAAAAAAAAAAAAGAGAGGTGAATTGTGGGTGTTGCCCCTTCGCACCACCCCCCTTTATTGCCTTGACCTTTCCTGTTTCTTATTTTTATAGACCAGATCCATCTCTGTCCTCTGACTCAGACTTCCTGTCACTTCTCTTGCACGCTAAGTCTGATTTTTGCTTTTACCCTGACTTTCACGCACTTAAACCTCCTCCTCATCTCATCACCAGTCCTGTCTGTCTTCCACACCAGGACCCTGGGGCAGTCACACGACGAGTGAGTGCTGCCTTCCGCCTGCAGTCCTTGACTCTCCCTCTGCCCTCCTCCCTAGTCATTCCCAGTGCTGCCTCCTCTGTTGTTGTTTCTTTTGCTGTGGTTGTTGTGGAGAATATACACAGCAAAACATACACCAACCCAGCAGTTTCTACAGGTACAATTCAGTGACGTTGATGCATTCTTCAGGTTGTACAACCATTCTCACTCTCCTTTTCTGAGTTGTTCCTCCCCCATTAATTTAAACTCACTGCCTCCTAAGGTTCCTATCTAATCTTTCGAGTTGCTGTGGTCAATTTGATCCTGTATAGATAGATCTTAAAAGAGCACAGTACTCGAGGCAGATCTTCTTTACTAGTTAAGGTAAACTATTATTTGGCTTTAACAAGGCTTCAGGGGATATTTTTGGTTTATGGTTTAAAGATTATCTCAGGGCAGTAGTTTTGGCAGTTCATCCAGCCTTCATGGATCCTGAAAGTCTGGATTCCATTAGAATTGAAATTCTGTTCTGCATTTCCCCCCTTTTGATCATGTTACTCTTTCTTGACTACAGAACAAGTGTGTGTTCCCTGACAACTCACCAGTAAAAAGATTCCAATGGTGACCCACAGTGACCTGTTAGTGGCAATGCATTGTTTTGGTTATTAAATATTCTCAACCAGTACACAATTTCCTCACTCTGCCATCTGAGCCTCTTAATCTATAGAAACCTTTCTCCTTCCTTGAAATCATCCAGAGCACATTTCCAAAGTTGGTCCATGGACCATTTCTCTTCTTTTCTTTTAAAATTTTTTTTTATCGTTCTAGTTTAAGTGAAGTTTACATTTCAAGTTAGTCTCCCATATAAAAATTTATACACACATTGTTATGTGACCCTAATTGCTCTCCCCATACTGTGATAGCACACTCCTCCTTTCCACCCCTAATTCACCATGTCCATTCAACCAGCTTCTAACCCTCTCTGCCTTCCCATCTCACCTCCAGACAG